CACTCTGTCTCTCTCTCCTTTAAAAGTAAATAAACGTTAAAAAAAATTTATATATAGGTAGATTTTGATGAAAATATTACTCATCATAAAAGCCTAGTTGTCTGATATCATTGTTCACAGCCCCCCAGCCCTTCCCCACCCCTGGAATTCAGCACTCCACCAGACCTGGTGGTGGGGTCAGCTTCAGCAGCTTAGAACAACATCAATTAATCTCGATGACGGGAAGGGAGAGAGAACAGCTAGGGGCATCTGGGGGGCTCAGTCGGTTAAGCATCCAACTTCGGCTCAGGTCACGGTCTCACGGTTCAGGGATTTGAGCCCTGTGTTGGGTGAACTTGAGCCCCACTTTGGGCTCTGCACGGTGTGGAGCCTCTGTGGGATTCTCCCCCCACCTCTCTCTCTCTGCCCCTTGCTCACTCTTGCCCTCCCTCTCAAAAAGAAACAAAGGTCAGTGATGACCAGGCAGTAACATGCTTTGGTACTGGTACAAGATTAACCATTTCCGCCTAAACCTATTCTATACTTTTCAGTCAAAGTTGCTTTGCCCAAAAGTCCTAGAGATGAAAGCAAAGACTCCATCTCACTATGAAAATGCCACAAAGAGAAGAGTGGCACCTGTCCTCTGGCCCCTTGGTCACAATTCCAGGGCGCTGGGCAGTTTCAGGAGCGCGGGTCTCCCCACGGTCCACGAGTACCTCCTGGCGGTGACCCGAGCACCTTTATGCCTGGTGCCGCCGCATGACACAGCACACAGGCTTTCTACCGACCTCTCTGTGCCTTCAGCAAAGCCCTGCGGATGAGTCAGGATGGGCACGCTGTGTACCACCGCTCCAGCGGGCTAACTTGATAAAGAACTAACGTAAACAGAGTCCAAATAACCTAAAGAACTTCTGTGGGAGCTACTAAGACCAGCCAGAACAGTAACCACCTGTTACTAAGACCAACAGGTGGCGGTCCCTGTTCCACCCCTGGGGCTTCACTGAGGGCAGAGCCGAGGAGCCGTCCGGGGGGTGGTGCTGACGGACGTGGAGGGATCACTGTCAGTCCTCACCCGGAAAGGTAAGGAGGGCACTGCTGTCACCCTGTGGGGCGCAGGGAGCGTCTGCGGGAGGCCGAGCGGCCTGTGGAGGTGAGAGGTCACTTTCCTCATTATTTTTATACACACGTAGGGACAGTGTCCCTACTCACATCCTTACACCCATGCCGTAACTGCCAGGCGGCGGGCCCGGGGACGCTCCGCAGGAAGCAAGGCAGTCCAGACTGCTGACACAGAGTAATTCATTCCTAAGCCGGGCTCCTCTGCTTGCATAAAACATGGACAGATTCTCTCTGTGGCTCAGGAGGCACTTGTGTCCCAAGTACACACACCAGTGGACAGTGAGCCTCGCTCCCAGGGGAGCCTCCCTTGGGCCTGCAGCCCAGCCGTCACAGGGTGCGTGTGAGCAGGGAGTGTTTAAAGCAGACATAAGATGAAGGCTCTAGGAACTGACAATTCGGGTCAACTAATTCCTTTAATTCTTACCCAGAAAGTTGCCTGTGCCAATAAAATATCAAAGCACGGTGGACAGATCCTTTACCTGCATGCATTTTAGGAACTTTCCAGTAATACCTGAACACACGAGAAATGAAGATGTCTCTGAAGGGCAATAAATGAAGATGTGCTAAAGAAAACAGTGACCTTAATCTTTAAGTGTATTTAAGTCAATCGCATCAGTGGCTTATCTAGCTCAGAATTGAACTGAGAGGCTCTCGAGTCCAGAATCCTCTGGAGGTGACTCACACTTTGGTGATTCTGAGGAGCGTCACAGGAGTTGATGGCCTTGGGAGGAGGGACTCTTACCCAGTACAAGTTCCTTCCAGAGCTGGGTCCTCGGTGTTGTGCCCCAGATAATGATCAATCAGCTTCTCTCTAGAGGTCTTTGGGAGCAAAACATTCTGCTTAGCGTCTCAGAGGAAAACAGGATCAACACAAAACCTTAACTAAGAGGTGACGTGATAGGAAGGTGTCAGCAGGCTTTAAGGACCCTAGTCTTTTGGAAGGACAGTTCAAATTCTTGAGTGAAAGAAACTTTAATACACTATAGCTGCTAAAAATTATCTGCTAGTTATTCAACAGACAATTTTATAAACATTTTCAAGAGGACACTTTATGTGACAAAAGTGATCAATCCCCTCTTGCTAGAAATACATTTTCTTCTCTAGGAATGAAACTTCCCAAACTTACAATATTGCTTTCATCACCAAAATCTGCAGGGTCTCCAATGATATTTACTGCAACCAGAGCAACCTAAGGGAGAGTTGACCAACAGAAATTAAGTATCAGATTTGTGACTTACTCCCTTTAAGACAAGCTGCCCACTCATACTGTCATCGAGGATGATGTACATCAAAGCACATTCATTGTAAAATGCCAAGTGTATTGAATTCTAGTGTATAGAATTACCACGAATAGTTTCTACGAATCACATAAGTTGATATTCTAATACCAAATCGAGTGGCTATTTTAACGTCTAAAGTATATTAAAACAAAAAAGGCTAAAAGACCTCCACAGATTGGTTTTTTTTTAATTAAAAAAATTATTTTTAATGTGTATTTATTTTTGAAGGAGAGAAAGAGACAAAGTGCGAGCGGGGGGAAGGGCAGAGAGAGAGGGAGACACAGACACTGAAGCAGACTCCAGGCTCTGAGCTGTCAGCACAGAGCCCGACATGGGGCTCGAACCCGTGGACCGTGAGATCATGACCTGAGCCAAAGTTGGACGCGTAACCGACTGAGCCCCCCAGGCGCCCCAAAACCTCCACAGGTTTAACACAGCCTCGTGTTGAACTGCTTCCTCACAGTCAAGTGTTGGGGCCCATCCACATGATCTTGGTAAACTAGACAACGAACTGAAACTCTACATTGACGTAGCTCAGTCTGTCTGGATCAGTGATTCCCTGAAGGGGGAGGAGTCCCCTTCCCACATCCTCCCTTTCCTGAGGATCACTACCAGAATGAAGTGAGGGGAACTGCAGGTTCACACACACAAGATGGGGAGGAGAAAGTGTCAGTCTTCTAGTTTATGGTCAAGCATGGCTGCAATGGACCAAGTAACGTCTCAGAGCTTGCCTCTAAGTCACTGGCTGAATATAAAACTTTGATTTGGTGGAATGTTTCCATTCCTCTTGGAGGGGGAAGGGAGTGTTGAAAGTATCTGTGCTAATTAAGAGTCTGCTGTGGACACAGTTGATTTCTACTACATTAATCATGCCCGAGACAAAACAAAACTGAAAAAGAGAAAAGAAAAAGAAAGATGGGAAGGGAGGAAGGAAAAGATGAGAGCTATTTGCTTGGAGCTTGACTACATGCAACATTTCATCACATCCCCAATTTCTCCCAGGGGGTTGATTTATCTTGCAAAATTTAGTGGGTTTACCTAGAAGAGTGTCCTCTAACAGAAACGGTGCAAATCACACAGGTAATTTTAAATTTCCTTTTTGTTTTTTTTGAGTTTATTTATTTCGAGAGAGAGAGAGAGAGAGAGGGAGTGTGTGCGTGCACACAAGGGAGGGGCAGAGAGAGAGGTGAGAGGGAAATCCCAAGCAGGCTCTTCACTGTCAGTGTGGAACCCCACTCGGGGCTCGATCACACAAACTGCGAGATCATGAACTGAGCCAAAACCAAGAGTCAGATGCTTAACCGACTGAGCCACCCAGATGCCCCAAGTTTTCTAATGGACACAGTAAAAAACTGTGAAAAGAATGACGTCGATTTTAAACTGAACATGGCCACAATATTATCACTTCACTGTGGAAATGACTCTCTTCCTCACGTGAAGCCTCTGAACTCCAGTGTCCAGTTAACCCGCGCAGCCCCTCGCGCTTGGGTGCCCAGGCCCCCAGGGTGCAACGTCCGTGTGCGGCAGCGGCTCCTGATGGGACAGTGTGGCTCGGAACGGCCTACCGCCCTTCCGTAAAAGTTACCATCTTAGAGAAAGACTTGAAATGTCTTTGCCAAGGGGTGCGGGCCCACGCAATGCCACCAGGAGGCGGGGGGCGGTCAAGGGGAGGGCCCGCGTCTCACCTGATTATATATGTTGTACTTGTTGAGGTGGTTTTCGTGAAAGGTCAGCTTGAGAAACTGTCCCACCGCGTCCACGTAGACGGACTTCAGCTCCCGGGCTCTGCAGCCCGTCTTCTCGTTGTCACAGAGAGAGACATAGCTGAAAGAGAGCACGCGCCAGAGTCACGTTGACAGGGACCGTCCTGCGCAGCGGAAGTGGCCGCTGCTACCACTGAACTCCACAGGGTTAAATACAACTTAAGTCTAGAGTGGAAAGACCTAGGGAAAAAGCTCAGAAGTTGCATTCTAACCAGGCTTCTTAAAACAAGTTCTAGATCTGAAGGCAGAGACGAGCTCTATGGATGAAAACGACAGCCCTGCTTACAGAGCATATTCTACGTGGGGCGGCTGCTCAGACACCATGTCCCCCGGCAGCAAAGACAAGTCTGTGACACAGGACCAACTGCAGGGGGCGATCCGTTGGTTTGCATCGCACTGAGACAGGCAGTCGGGTTGACAGTTCCCACCAGACCTTTCCAGGTCACGCTCACCCGAGCCTTCGAAAGCGCTCCGCCTGGTAGGGCACGAAGTACTCGGGCAGGCTCTCGCTGACGTAGAACTCCACTTTGCTGGGGATCATGTACTGGTGGGCGAGCAGCTGCAGCTTTCTTATTCGACACCTCTCCACCATCTGGAGAACGATCTCTTGCGGAAACTGGCAAAATCTGAAAGCAAACCATTGTTTTTCCCACACGGTCACGGCTGCGGTTTCCAGCCATGTGCGTGGCGCTCCCCACGTAGCAAGGCGGTCCGGGTGCTGACGTGAGGGCCCCACGCGGCACGGCTGCTCCCTCCAGCCTCCAGCTTCGCAAGGAGGGGCTGAGGCTCTAGTTCACACCCGACCTGTGTGAGTCAGACTTTTCACGGTAGAAAACAGTCCAAAATGAAACCTGAGGTTTACCACGAGATCAATACTTCAGTCTTAAGAGGCTGTTCTAGTGGGCAAGCAGGGCCGAAGGGTTTTCCCCAGGAACCCAGATGCTTCAGGAAAACCATGTGCTTGGCGAATCCCGAGCGAAGGGTGCCGGGCAAGAATCAACACTGAGCGAGGGCCACGCGTGCCTGGTGGTCCGCAGAAGCCTGCGACTGGCCACTGTGGAGCTTCTAATTTTGCTTAGTACGCGACACAGCGCGTTAAGAACCTACACTGGAAGTCAGAGAACCGCAGTGTCAGCACAGCCCTCACGCTGCGTGATCTGATCACGATGAACAACAGAGCACAGCGTGTGGGCAGTAGACGCCGCGCCCGCTGAGCTGGCACACCCTGGCTCACAATGGTGGGGCATCCAGGGCCCCGGGAGGGGGACGCACCCAAGGAGGGGACGGGTGGAAGGGGCTCGGCGGCCTGCAGGGTGTGCTCACTCCTGCCCCCTGGTTGTGCTCCCTGGCCCTCCTCCGCCACCTCTCCAGGCGCCTCCCTCTCCACTGAGAAGACAAGAACCTCAGATGGGGCTGCTCACTCCCCGAATGGGGTGGTGTCCCTGCCGGTGCCCCGCCCCCCCCCAGCCTCCTGAACAGTGATAGAGCCAGCCTGCCCTCGAAACTTCCAACAACACACAGACGCACTCTTAAGAACCCCCCATCCTAAGAAACCCCTCCTGTGACCGCACTGGGGCCTGGCTGCCAATGTCACGCAGGAGCTGTCTGTGGCCACCAGCTCAGCTCTTCACGCACCCTCCCCAGTCCCTCCAGGGCATATGCTGCCACAGCCAACTCTGGCCAAGGCCATGTGCAGTGGACTTCCCAGTCCTGCTCTGTTCAGTCCGCAGCTCCTGGCCTCCTCCTACCTTAGGGCGCCCTCCCCTGGGCTGGGTTCCAGGCTCCTTCCTCTCCCCACACTCACCATAGGGGACCTACCTGACCACGGCTTTAGAAACCTCCTGCGTCAAGGAGCCCCAACTAAACGTTGCCTGGGTCCAAGCCTACGATCTAGCTGTGACCTGACATTTCCACGCAGACACCCATAGATGTTATTAGACGTGACAGACAAAAACTCCTGACCCCTGCCACCTTCCCCCATCCCGTGCAGCCAGTCTCCTGGTCCCCTGCTTTGCCAGCTGGGGCCCTCCTCCCCATCCGCTGTGGCCTCCCTCCCTCCCCACTGCTGCATGACGAGTGCCTGCTTCCCAGCAGCACACAGAAAAGAGGAAGGGAAGAGTGAACAAAGGAACACCAGGCTGAATGCAGGAGAATCTGCTCAGCCTCTAAGTCCAGCTCTAGCTCCAAGGGACGTGCAGGGGTGACGGGGCGGGTGAGCACAGATCTGATGGACTTTCGCCCCGGAGGCACAGTCACCAGAAATCTGCCAGCACTAAGGTTTTGAGGTTTTAAAGATGAAAAACTCGTAAGAGAGATGGCTCTGGGGCAGAAGGCAGCTAGTGAACACCGGGAACCAGAACCAAGCAGAAGGCAGCTAGTAAACACCGGGAACCAGGAACCCAGCAGCTTGTGACTCGAACACTCCTCAGTCGCTCACGGTGGTCAAGTGTGGCTTTAGACGTTTAAGATAGTTACTATTTTCAAATGCTAAGCACATATGTCATACTCGGTGGTGAGATCATTCTGGGCACAAGGACACTCTGAAAATCCTATAGTATGTTAAAAAAAAACAAAAAACCTCCAAAATTATTTAAAGAAAAATAAGACACCAGACAAAATCAGAAGTTCTAGGCTTTTTAAAATCCTTCAAAAACCGGGCCTGTAACTCAGTTGTTCAAATGCAGCTTACAGAGTTTGTGCACGTATCAAAGCTGTCGTTGAGGGACACTGAAGAGGCCACAACGGGACGGTGGGAAGCGTGAGAGGCGTGGACACTGGGGAGGGGTGGGGCGCACTGGGGAGCTGGCCCCACAGGCAGGAAGCCTGTCAGGCACTTGCATGATGGGACTCCTATGGTTTCACCTTTGGGGAAGACTGACGACCTCTAAGGAAAAGGCTTAGTTTCAGAAAAATACCAACTCGTATAATGTTACTCAAGCAACGGACAGTTTAAAAGGTGTACAAATATTCCAGACGATCAATTGAAAGAGACGTTCTTGGTTAAAGTTTGGGGCTAACAAAACCTTGCCCACAGGAGCTCGGCTGTGAAAGCAGGGACCTGCAGACACACAAGCCGGCACGGGGCACAGTGAGGACGCGAGGCCCGGCGGACAGTCAGGGGAGACAGTTCAACAACCGTGGCCGGTCAGTTTCCGCCCTCTCCCCGTATTTGTGCATTTCTGAAGCCAACGTCACTTAATGCTCTGAGGGAAAAAGATCCAACGAATTTTCTTTAAAAACACAGAAAGAGGGAAAACGCCCACTGCATCACTACGCAGACGGCACCGCGGCACGAAAACAGCAGTGTGGTTCTGAGGCCTGAGTTGCAATAGAGCAGAAACTTAGCAGGAAGGGAGCCCGCCGGCCCGCCCTCGCCCCCCCACCCCTGCCGGGCCCACCTCACCTCGGTGACCTCCACCCACTGACGGTAGGTGCGTGGATCATTAGTTCCCGGGCACTGAAGCCATCTTCGTGCCCAGAGGAGCTGACAACAACGAAGCCAATCTTGTGCGGCATCCTGGGCGCCGGGCTGGTTGTAAGGGCAGGAAAGACTTCTTTAAGAGAAAGGAATCGGCAACGTTTTAGACCACGGAAAGGGTCAGTTCGTGCCTTGCTAACAGACGACATAATTCACAACATATTCAGAATTTCCCCATCACTTTGAAAGAATCTAGTTTTTTGTTAAGCATTTTTCACAGGAGCCTCTAATTCTACTTAAGGGATCATTTACCTTGACTTTTCCCAAACACATGTCCTAAAAACATGATCACGTTGTGGGCTGAACTGTGTCCCTCCAAAGATAGGTTGAGGTCCTAACTCCCAGTGCCTGTGAATATGACCTTTTTCGGAAATAGGGTCTTTGCAGATGTAATGAGGTTGGGATGAGGGCGTCCTGGAGCAGGGCGGGCCCGATACAGCAGCACCAGAGTCCATTTAGGAGACACAGACACACACACAGCCAAGGAAAGGGCCAAGCGCCCGGGGCGATATGTCTACAAGCCAACGACCCATCCCGGCAAGTACTGCTGTCACCACCAGAAGCTGGGACCGGCAGGGGCGGTGGCCCCTTCAGAAAGAGCGTGGCCCTGCCGGCAGCTGGATTTCGAGCCTCTAGCCTCCAAAGTTTTGTTGTCCTAAGCCATCCAGTTTGTGGCACTTTGTTATGGTAAAAACACAGTTTTGCTAAGATAAAAATACCAAATTTTTATTTTTTGTTAAATCTGAGTTAGAAAGCAATGTAACCAGCGTGTTAACAAGTTACACAAAAGTAAGAGGAAAGGGGCAGTTTGATCAGCAGCGTGGTAACGGCTGACGGCAAGCACACGCCCGCAGAAGGGAGAGCAGGACTCCAGGGAGGCGGGTCGGATGCAGAAGTGGCACCCGGGGCCTGCTGGAGTGACTGACTCATAGCAGATACTTAGCCATTGGTCAAACGAATGTTTTATGCCATTTTTTAGTGAGCCGTTCACAGCTGAATATCATTTTGAGGGTGGATGTTGCGACGTCTGGTTTTGCCATCCTGTCCCTGTGTGAAGACGGCACCCGCCTGCAGTTTCCCCCGCACGCTCCACATCCCTCCCTGGCAGCTAGTTCAGGGACGGGAACAGGAGAGCAGGACCCACACTGGACCAGCGAGGCTCTCCCCAAGGACTCTGCCGGGGCTACTGGGAGAGAGAAGTATTCTTCCTGCTGGGGCTATGGCCGCAGAATATTTCCCAGGGGCCTCCTGGAAGCCTCCTGTGGGGAGGTCCTGCCAGAGAGCGGGCTGACACGGGGCAACAGCCACCTTGGGAACCCTGAGGTTCAGCTACATTTAAAGCCCAAACTACTCATAAGCTTTGGGTTATTTTCGAGTCGTTGAGCCAATCAGATTCCTCTTCAGTAAGCCAATCCGAACTACCTTTAAGTATCCGCAATCAGAAGAATCCTCACTAACATGGATAATAAAGAATTCTCCAGAAAGTTCTCTGGGATAGGACATACTGTCAACTGAAATTCTGAATGGGATGTGACATATAAACATATCCCGCAAGAAATTTTGCTTATTTTAATGTGCTTGGTGTGTGATCTAGATCTTTCTTTTACTTCCATCCTGAACCTGAAAAGGCCCACATGCATAAATTACTGGCTGGTACTTGCTAACGTTTCTTGGGCTGTGGGAACAAAGGCATTCCAAATAGAAAAATAAACCATCATTAGGGAGCCTGGTTATTTCTGATGCAAGCTCACTGCAGGATGTCACAGTACCGGAGGAAAGCTGAAACTCGCCCAGAAGGTAATGAAAGGCAGTGATTATATTTGGGGTGTGCCTGCAGGGGTGTGGGTGGAGCCCCACCTCTGGCCTCACCAGGGCAGGGATTCGTCCTCTGCAGGGGCTCTCAGCCTGCACTCACTCCCCACGCCCCGACCATCCTGCAGATGGCTGAGTAGGACTGAATCTCCTCTTCTCCACCACTCTTTTCTAGAGGACGACTGTGGCCTGTGGCCAAGTCTCCCTGTCTGCAGCACTCCTCCCTCCCCCAACTATCCTGTGCTTCTCCTCACGCCCAGCTGGGCTCATCAGCATCTGTGTCTTCACTCAGAGCTCCAGATGTGCTCCCTATCCCGGGTTGAAGGGTCATCTGTGTCCTGACCCAGTCTGCTGTTTGAACCCCCACTTCTTTTTTTTTTTTTTTTGGGGACAGAGAGAAACAGACAGGGAGGAGGCAGGTAGGAGAGAACACAATGTTGTAAGAATGGAAACAGGCACAGTTTAAAGCAGGCAAGCTACCATGGCCCGGCTGCGACAGACTTTGGCAGCGAGATGCGTGACACGAAATTGACAGCAACCGACTACTGTAGTGCGCGAACACTTTGCTGTCATGATTCTGGTCAGCTTTGAAGGGCTGAAAGTTCTATGTCTCTGCTCTGAATTCCTCAAATCCCTCAATCATCTTTTTAAAAAAACTTTTTATGTTTCTGAGAGACAGAGAGACAAGAGACTGTGTGTGTGCACGTGCGAATGGGGTGGGAGAGACAGACAGATAGAGAGAGAGAGAGAGGCAGGGAGACAGAGGCTCCAAAGCAGGCTCTGCACTGCACAAGCTGCACGAGCCATGAGATCATGACCTGAACCGAAGTCAGACGCTCAACCGCCTGAGCCACCCAGGCGCCCCTAAATCCCTCAATCACCTTCAAGGGCAGGGCCCACGACTTCCTGTTCCACCTTGGAACTGTAGGTGTCTACGAGGTACCTTCAGCTGAATGTGATCATGTGGACACTACCTTTGAAGCACTTGCTGTGCGCCAAGGACTGTCCTCAGCCCTAGACACACACTTACACCTTTGTCACACTGACATAGGTTTGTTCACGCCAACCTCAGGGATAAGGAAGCCGAGACACGGACAGGCTGTTGCTCAAAGTTACACAGGTAGTAAGCTGTGTGGGCAGAATCTGTGTTTAGCCGCTCGGGTTCCGGAGTCTCTGCCCTTGAGCAGTCCTCTCTGCTAAGGTGCTAAGACTTAAACATGAGACTTCCAGAGTCCTAACGAAGGAGGTGTCCATTTACTACACTGTCTCAGTAAGCCCCAGACAGAGTGCGGGCCTTCAGGACCCAGGTAGGAGGAACGCCTGGGCACTGTGAGGACAACACTACCCCACTGTTTGGAAACGATTCCTTTCTGTCCACCTTCTTCCACGGCCCTTCCACCCTGCACCCTTTGTGGGACCCTTTGTGGGAACCTTCAAGGGCTGCGTGATACCTGGAGTGTTACTACAGGACGCTATTATCAGCCTCTGTGAACCTCACCACTGATATTTTGGGGAAAATCAAAGCTCCCCGAAATACTCGGCTCCCGGCAAGTAGGACCGCGGCAGCAGCAGCAACGGCTCTCACCTCGGCCTTGCGGCACACGCTAGCGGCTGCGTGGACGAAGGCAGCTCAGCGGTAGCCTCACCAAGTCTATCAAAACGCAACTTTCTGAGATGTTCTCAGGATCGTTGACCTCCATGAATCAAAGCGAAACAATTCAGCAACTTCCGAACGTTTGGCTACAAGATTAGGAGACAAACCTTGTTTCCATTGTTCTTTTGCGGAAACCTAACTGTTAGGCGGGTGAAGAACGGTTGGCCAGGTAATCTTAAAGGCCGCAAGTGCCGCCGAGCGCACGTCCGAAACCGAAGATGGGTGGGGAGGCGGGGGTGGGGAGCCGCACCGAACCCGCACGGCGGCACGACCGCATTCCTCACTCACTCGGGTCCCCGTCAGCCGTGCGGCCCGAACACGGAGGTCGCGACGTGCAGAAAGTACCCGACGCTAAATGCGACGCCGACTGGAGGCAACCGCAGGCCGGACCCTGGGCTGCGGCGGGCGGAGCGCGGGCAGCGCCCACCCGGGCCCGGGCACCCCGCTCCGTACGCGCTCCCGGGCCCGGCCCCCTGCCCCTGCCCCCAAGCCCCTCGGCCTCCGCCCTCCGGCCCCCGGCCGCGCCCACACCGCCAGGCCCCGCGCGGTGTCGTCGGGACTCCCGGTACCTGTCAGAACGGAAGGCCCGCCCGGACCTCGGCGCCCTCACGGCTCCCAGGGCCCTCCGCCGCCCCTCGGCAGCGGCTTCCGGCGCTCAGGCGGCGCCTCCTCCACCGCCCCGGGCCGGCCCGCACCCCCGAGCCGCAGCGGCGGTGGCCGCCGAGGAGCAGCCCCGGCCGCCTGCGCCCAGCGCCAGGGCCGCGGCCGCCGCTCTCATGACAACCAGACGGGCCGGGCTGGGCCGCGCCTGCGCACAAAGCGGCGTCTCCCCGCCTCCACTTCTCCGGGCCTTCTGGGTAATGGAGTCTCGGGGAGGACGGCGCCTGCGCACAGGCGGGGCTGCCGCTCCACTTCCCCAGGCCTTCTGGGTGATGAAGTCCCCGGAGGACGGCGTCTGCGCGCAAGGCGGGGCTGCACCTCTGCTTCCCCGGGCCTTCTGGGTAATGGAGTTTCCGGGGGGACAGCGCGCGGCCCGGGTCTCGGTCGCAGAGCCCACCGAGCTCCGCACCCCCGCCGCTCAGCTGATTTCTGGGTCCTGGGCGAACAACAGCCTGAGTGGCCGGCCAAGCAGGTGCCGCCGGCGGGGCCGGAGGTCCTGAGGATGTTTACGGTGTTCCGGAAGCCCAAGACGTTCAAGCTGCGGGCTCTGCACAGGACGAAGAAGTTTGGGGTGGCGGGGAGGAGCTACCAGGAGGTGCTGCGGAAGGGGTGCTTCCACTTCCAGGTGCCCGGGGCCGGGGTTCGGGTGCCTTCACTTGCAGGTGCCCGGGGCCGGGGTTCGGGTGCCTTCACTTGCGGGTGCCCGGGGCCGGGGTTCGGGTGCCTTCACTTGCACGTGCCCCGGGCCGGGGTCCATGGGACCTGGCGCCTCCTCAGACTTCTTCCTGTAGTCACTCAGCCCTTCAGCGGGAGTTTCTGGAGGGTTCTGGCGCAACACCTCCCTCTTCTGACCGTGAAGATTACCGCAGCTCTGGCCTGAGATTCTGGGACTCCCTGTTCTAGTGCATATCTGCTAACTTGCTGTGTGCTCCAGGGCACAGTCAGTGGGCCTCTCTGGGCCTCAGTTTCCCCTTCCGTGAAATGAAGGAGTTGTGTTCACAGACCAGCACTGTTGTCGCAGGGATTGCAGTCCTCATTCTCACTGGAGTCTCACTGTATTTGTTGTCTTGACCTGGACCTGGAACAGCGCGGGTTGTGTGTGTGTGTGTGTGTGTGTGTGTGTGTGTGTGTGTGTGTGCGTGTGGGGGCGGGACCGTCAGGAGTTGCCCTGAACGCTCATAAAGCTGACGAGCGTGGAGGGACAGTGTTAGGAAACCAGCGGACCGTGTGCCGTTCACACTTTGTCAGCCAGAGGCAATGAGTCATTTTCAGGAAGATGTTCGCTTTAATCATCGCTCAGGAAAACGGAGTGTGCTGAGCGGGCGTGTCCTGATACCAGTCGGGTGATGTGTCCTCATTGGTGGGGGTGTGTTTATGGGCTTAGTGGAAGCAGTCAGGCATCATTTTCTGAAACGGGCTCCGATTTTAAGTGCCTTTAAGGAGCCCGTTTCGAAAGGATCTGTGTGGCGAATCCTGTGGAGTCGACACCGCTAGGTATATATTTTTATGTGACTTGTCATATTTTCGAACGACGTGTAACCCCGGCACGATTTTTTAAAACACAGTTTTTTTCTGATTGTGAGGACCGCAGGTGGAAGGGCCTCAGGTTAATGCTCCCAGGCGGCCCGCCCAAGACCCGAGACGTTAGCTTCCTGCCCTACCCTCCCTCTCCGCAGCTCCCCATCACCGGCTCCCGCCTGTGCCTCTACGAAGACGGCACCGAGCTCACCGGAGACTACTTCTCGAGTGTCCCTGACAACTCGGAACTCGTGCTTCTCACCTCAGGCCAGACCTGGCAAGGCTGTAAGTGGTGGGGACGTGGGAGAGTGGCGGGGAAGCCGGCCCGGCTTTGGAGGTGCTGAGGGCCTGCTGTGGGGGACCAGCCAGGGAAACGGAGAATCTTCTCGCTCTGAGCTCCCCAGGGGGGAGCCCTGAGTCGGGAGCCTGGTTGTCCAGTTGGGTGTTTTAGGTGTCTTTTCTAAGTTATGTGAATTTTATGTTCGTTCTGGGTGTCCTAGTAACTCCAGAGGGCAGAAGGGAGGGATCTGGGGGTTGGGACCTGCACAGGTTTGTGGGTAAGGCAGAGCCAGAGAGAGACGCCATCCTGTGTCGTCGGGCCGTGCGAAGGGAGCGGTGGTGGCTCAGGTTGTGCTCTGTCTGCTCTGTTGGTGTTTGCTGATGTGCTGTCACGTTGGGGGCCCATCAGAGGCATCGCTTCCAGGCGTGATTCTTTAGGGGCATCCGGATTTAAGAACCAGCTCGATGACAAGTTGCACATTGGAGCTGTAGGCCAGGGGCAGAGCGAGTGTGCCTTCCTGGCTCTTGTGCAAAGTGGCTTACATTTCAGGAGATGCTTCTGGTGCTCCAGGAAGTGGGAGCCCTGAAGACAGAGATATCTGCCTCTTTGGCCGAAGGGACAGAAAGGGGCCCTAGTGTGGTGTACGTGTGGCTTTGCCCTGCGGTTGGGACTCCGCTGTTAGCAGTCACATCTAGTGTCTGCTCCAAGGTTGCAAGCACTCTATCTCTTTGGGGCCTTGTCCTTCTAGAGGAGGCAGCCAGAAAGCAGAGTCACTGTGATGCCTCCTGGGACGGCCCCTTGCAGGAGGTGGGGACTGGGCAGGACAGGGCTGAGAGCCTGCCTGGCTTTTCCTTTTCTTTCCCATTTCGTGGTGGCGAAGTGAACAGACTAAGAAACACGGACTTGTTCAAGTGTGTGAATCATGAGAGATTGGGATTGCATCTCAATATTTTTTTTAAGTTTATTTATTTATTTTGAGAGAGAGAGAGCACAAGTAGGGGATGCAGAGAGCAGGGAAGTGTGAGAATCCCAAGCAAGTTCCACACTGCCAGTGCAGAGCCCGACGTGAGGCTCGAACCCATGAACCGTGAGATCATGACCTGAGCCATAATCAAGAGTTGGATACTTCACCGACTGAGCCCCCCAGGGCGCCCCACATTGTTGTCGTTGTTTTTAAAGAAACGGGCTGTTTTCCAGAGTGGGAACGCCTGTCCCACGGCCTCAGCAGCCTCCCCCACTTCTGGCTTCGCCACTCTTCTATTTTAGCCATTCTGATGGGCGTGCAAAGTGTCTCCGTGTGGACAGCTTTGTGTTCCTGCTGGTAGTGCAGTTGACCATCTTTCCCTGGGCTAGCAGGCTGTCCGCCCGTCCTCGCCCAGAAGGCGTGTCTTTGTCTGTTTGTATTTTGTCCATTTTCTAATTGGAGTTTTAACTGTTGAGTTTCGGGTTTTTCTCAGAATACGTACTGGATATGAGTCTTGGTAGACGCGTGGCTTCTAGGGATTTCCTCCTGCTCCGTAGCTTGTCTTTACATCCCCAGAACAGGCTCTTTCACAGAACAAGTTTTCCATTTCGATGAAGCCCACATTGCCCGTGCTTTCCTTTTGTGCTCATGCTCTGCACGTGAAGACTGGAAACTTGTCACCAAGCCCTGGGCCCGGAAGCGTTTCCCTCCTGCCTTTCTCGTCAGTGGATATGATCATGTGACTCTTTTTCTTTAGCCCACGAAGGGTGGGTTTATACTGGTTGATTTTCGAGCACTGAACAGCCTCTTGTCCCTGGAACGACCCGCTGGGCCGTGGGAGCATCGTTCTTTCTGTGGGTTGCCGCTTCTGTTGGCCAAGGTGTCACGAAGGGTCGCGGTAGACCGTGGTTCCACTGGGTTCTAAGGGCTGGCTGGGCTGCAGTCAGGTGGGTGTGGGAGGCTCCAGGAGGGAGGTCCGGAAGGAGGCCTAGAGACGTGGGAGGTTTCGTTTGGGGAAGAGAAGGGCAGCGACCCACCAGCTGTGGTGCCTCCACATCCAGCCCCTCCCCACGCTGAGGGGTGGGCAGCCAGGCCCAGGGGAAGGGCTAGCTGGCATCCGGGCAAGCCCGGGGCCCCGGACGCCCCTGAGGTCTGGCAGGTCCAGAAGCGTGGTGATGCTGGGCGTGCGGAGACCCCTTCCTCACCGCAGCGCTCAAAGGACCGCCGGCTTTTCTGTCTGTGACTCTTCTGGTGGCAGATGTGAGTGACATCCATCACTTCCTCCACGCGTTCCACAAGCCGCAGGCGGGGCTCATCCAGGCTGCCCGGCAGCTGCTCTCCGGGGAGCAGGCCCCGCTGCGGCAGAAGCTGCTGGCCGACCTCCTGCACACCGTCAGCGAGAACACCGAGGCTGAGACCAGGGCCGAGGACCCGCCGTGGTTCGAAGGTACTCCGGGGCCCGGAGCAGGGGTGGGGCTTGCTGGGAGCTGGCCACGCAGGGGACACCAGGTCCCACTGCAGTCCCTGGGCGGGGGGCCTGCCTGGCTTCTGTGTGCTAGAGGCCCCGGGACTGGCCTCCTTACTCCTCTGTCAGTTGTGGGAAAGCGTACGTGACGTAACGTGTTCCGTCTGAATCATTCTAAGCGTACGGTCTAGGGTCGAGCACATTCTCTGTGGCGTGCAGCCACCACCAGCATCCGTCTCCAGAACCTTCTCACGTTCCTCAACGGCAGCCGTCCCTATGTCCCCTCCCAGCCCCCACCCTCCACCCGGTCTGGATCTGACTTCCCTCGGGGCCTCCTCCGGGGGATCACACGGGACTCGGCCCTGAGCCTGGCCTGCTCCACGAGACACAGTGCCCTCGGGTGCACGCGTGCTGCAGGATCTCCCTCCTTCAGGCTGGATCTCGTTCTGTGGTGTGGCCGGACCGCGTTTTGCTTGTCTGTCACCCGGCCGTGGACACTTGGGCGTGTCCACCTCGGGGCGCGGCCTTCAGGCCCGCCGGAGCCGCCCTTGGACTGCAGGAGAGGGGGTTCGGGTGCCTGGAGCCGAAGCCCCTCTGTGGTGTCTAGATGCCCACGATGCAGGTGGGCCAGAGAACCCTCTCCAGGCAGAGGGCAGGAGCCCATGAACGGGACACGATCAGCACGTTTCTCAGACGAGGCAGGTGGCACTTGCAGCCTGCCGCCCGGGAGAGGATGGCCGTGGACTCCAGGGGGGTCTCGTCTTCTCTTGCTCCTGGCAGGTCTGGAGTCTCGATTCAAGAATAAGTCTGGCTACCTGAGGTACAGCTGCGAGAGCCGTATCCGGAGCTACCTGAGAGAGGTGGGTGTGCGGTGGCGGGCACGGGGTCGAGGCGAGGCGTGGAGACGGTGCCCGGAGCTACGCGCCTCTGCAGGCGGACGGCCCCGCCGGGGCCCAGCTCGCGGTGTCCCTGGGGTGCAGCTAGCGGCCGGCTCCCCGCACTCTGCCCTGAGCTGGCCTGAGCTGGCGCCCGGTGGCACCTGGGGCCTTGGCCCCCTTTCTTTTTGCGCTGGAGTCTCAGTGTGGGTTTTGAATAGAACCGACCTGTGAACATCATCACCCGTCAGGTGGTTGGATTTTGACGTGAACTTGTCTTCATCCGGCACTGGCTGTGACAGACGCCCACGTGGGTGGGTCCTGGCCTCTTTCCCCACGAGGACACTTCTGTCTCCAGGCTGTGGCCCTGGGTGGGGGGCCTGACCTCCGAGAACTGGGAAGGGCTGAGCTGCATCTGCTTTTGGGGTGCTCCGAGCCGTTGTGGGTGTGAGCTCTGACTCCACGGGCCCAGGAAGGAGATGACATCCTTCCTCCCCCCTGGGAGATCCGAGAAGCGAACACAGATGGAGATTTAAAGCTTCGGTGCTCTCACTGGACGTGGCTGTCCGTCCCCAGAGAAATCTGTGCCCAATGTGGCCTCTGTCCTGCTGCCCCCTCAGCGAAGAAGCAGAGCCCACGGACAGATTGGCGGC